TTTTTTGTTTTTGTTTTTTGGTTTTTCAAGACAGGTTTTCTCTGTGTAGCTTTGGAGCCTGGCCCCTCGCTCGGGAGCCCGGCCTCCCCCCCGCAGAGCCCCCCCTGCCTCTGCCTCCCGAGTGCTGGGATTAAGGCCACCACTGCCCAGCACTAAGCTAACTATGTTGCAAATCACTTGGTGCATAATAAGATCTCCATGGCAGGAAGTTATTATTGACTGAGACCACTGTATTTGAAAAACATTTATCAGACAGATTTGGTGGTACACACCTTTAATTCCAGCTCCAAGGAGGCAGAAGCAAGTGAATTTCTATGAGTTCAAGGCCAACCTAGTCTAAATAGTGAGTTCCAGACTAGCCAAGGGCTATCTTAATGCTCCCCCAAAAGACATCTAACAAAGTACTTACATTAATATGGATATTATTAGCATTGGTGAAGTGCTGGCCTAGCATGTGAGAAGCCCTGAAATGAACTCCAAGCACCACATAAACCTGTGTGATGGTTTACAACTGTAATCCTAACATTCAAGGAGCAGCCAGGCAGTGGTGGCACACACCTTTAGTCCCAGCACTCTGGAGTCAGAGGCAGGCAGATCTCTATGAATGCTAGGCCAACTTGGTCTACAAAGTGAGTTCCAGGACAGGCTCCAAAGCTACAGAGAAACCCTGTCTTGAAAAAGGAAAAGAATAAGTTTAAGGCCATCGAAAGGTACATGTAGACTTCAAGACTAACCAACACGAGACTCTGTCTCAAAAGGAAAAAGAGAAAAAGAAAAAAAAAAAAAAAGAAATGGGAGAGACAACGTATGGTCCAAAGCCTACACTAGGGTGCTACATTCTTGGAGAAAATACTTACTATATATTGTATCAGAGGGTAAGGACAAACGAAAATCTTCTTTTTTCTTTTTCTTTCTTTTGAGACAGGGCTTCTTTGTATAGGCCTGGCTATCCTGGAACCAGCTCTGTAAACCAGGCTGGCCTTGAACTCACAGAGATCCACCTGTCTCT